AATGTCTTAAGTCGGTGTCCTCCTTCACTACATTCTGGAGTTCATCAGGTCTCTCTCATCCCTTCATGTTGAACTACATTTCCCAACACTAGCTCTAGGGCCTTCTAATCATCAGACACCCTAGAGTAAGTGAATGGAGACGGTCCTTTCCCCACAAACCTTTGCATTATATATATTATATATACACACATATACACATTCATATATCTATGAAGTGCAGCAGTAGTACCATAGTCATTTCAAAACCAAAATGTAAAGTAATTAAATGTATTTTAATACATGTACCTTTGCTTTATATATATAAATATAAAGCAAATGTACCTATATAAAGCAAAGGTACATTATATAATTCTTTGCTATATATATAATCTCTCTATAATCTTTGATACACACACTCACACACAGAGTGATACCACATTCATTTCAAAATCAAAATGTACAGCAGTTACATGTATTTTAATAAAATTGATACTAAAGCAGAGTTTTAAATGTGTTCAAATGAAAATTGGTTGCATTTATATTTCTTATAAAAACTCTCTGAAGGGGATCAACTGAGAAAGTGCCTCACTCAGTGACTTAAAATATTCAGTAGGAACTGGACCTTGGATCTCACAAGTTCCAGGCTGTTGCTCTAACCAGCAACACTAAGTATCTTTGTGGGTCTTTCACCACAGTTCAATAATTCCAACTACATTTTGTTGCTGGAAAATATACCCGAGATAGTTGTCCAGTGCTTGAAGTAACACATTCATTTCAGGGTTTCTAAGGTCTGAAATGCCACTATAGAGTCCTTAGTTATTTATTTTAGATGTATGCATTTTACAACGGTCATCTTTCACCTTCAAAACATAACCGACTCCATTATTTTAGCTTGATATTATCATTTGTAAAACGAATGCACTATGGGATAAGCCCAACAAAACTGAACGGGTTGCTTAATTTTAAAAATCTTTTCCCTCCACTCATGCTGAATAGCTGCTACCATCAAGTAGCTCCTCTGCAGATGGGAATTCAGTGATATGATTAAATTTGATGGTATGATAATGTATGGTAATAGTGATTAATCAGAAGCCCACTAGCAAATGGAGGGTGTTTGTTATGTCACCTGCATTTTAAATTGCATTTCCCCTCTGCCAGCCTGACAATGTATGACAGTATACTGGGCGAGAGCAAAATCTTGTGCTACATCTGCTTGCTATTACTTATAGATCTGATAAGAGAAAACACTCATCACTCCATCACTATTTAAGTGTTGTAATTACAGAACTACACAGACAAGTTGTGAAAATGGCACAAATGCATAAAGCAAGCTTGCTGAAAGATGCTCAGGCAGCTCAGTTGCACATCTGCAGGGGCTGTAATAGGAGAGAAATGTAATTTGATTCAGCAGCCTCATTCAAACATGATTTGCATGAAATGCTGTATAAAGCTCTATCTTAGAAATGTCAATCACAACCACCTGATACCTTGTATCATGTTAAAGAGAAAACAAAATACGGGATTTGCCACTGCTGCTGCACAGTAATAGAGAAAATTTCATTTACTGTTGCTGTTCTAGCAGCACCACCATAACAAAAGCAGAAGCACTGTGGTATCAGCACAGCAGGTTTGGGAGATTTTTTTCCTCCTTTGGTGCCTAACTTCTGAACAAATAGAATTACAAGGTATAAACAACGATCGCTTATTACACATTCAGAAGAGCAATCATACAGACTTTTAAAATATATCCTCATTAGTTTTATGAGCCAAGTCTACACTACACTTGGGTCTTAGCCAAAAGACCTAAGAAGCAATGGGCCAATCCACACATTACAGTTCAGCCACAGAATAAAAATCAAACAGAGGAAGCAAATGTCTAAGTTACAAGTATACTCTTCTGGGAAACAAGATTACCGCAAGTCACTGTCAAGCGGGAACTAGGCCAAACATGGGTTTAGCTTCCATAACGCCCCACTTCACACAACACAACAAGCTAGGAGAACGTATGTATCCTGGCTTACTGGCAAAAGGCCGCAATGCTGGCGTGTCATACAGTGGGAGCAGCTAAGCATAACCCCCACATGCAGCTGCAGTTCTGATTCATTTCTCTCCCAACAAACCACAGACAAAACCATGGATTCAACCTCAAGGTTCAATGAGAAAGAAACCAATCAGAGCAGCCGCTGTGCCTTTAGCCACTCCCACTGCAAAGCAGAATGATCGTGCGTCAAAAATGCAGCTCACTCACAGCCCACCACAGTATCAATCGCTCCCTGCTTCACCACATGATAGGTTCACGGCTAGTACATTAACATAGCCCTTTGACACAAGAAAAAACAAGCTAGATGTTAACTACTAGAATGAACTATACTTTCTCAACTGTGTCCTTTGCCAATTAATATAAGTAAGGTATCTTAAAAAGAAATGTCAAATGGGTTCAGCTTTGGGTGAGTGACGTGGGTGGACATGGGCTGCGTGTAGTACTCATGTTCAGTTAGGTCAGACCATTCTTGGCTTTCATTTTGTGGTCACTTAGCAACATGATGAAAATTAGATTGCATACCATAGGGGACACCTCCTTATTTGGATCATATCAGTACATACACCTGCATTTTATGGTTGGGGCACCGTACTGACATGATCAGTTCCAGCAGTTTCACATATCTGCTGTCTGAAAATATTAAATACTTAAAGTACTACAACGTTCCTCATTTTTATTTGTTCTTTTATTTTTATTTTGTTTTTGCCTGTGGTGCTTGCATGGACTAACACTGCTACATCTTCTAAAACCAGAAATACATATTTAGAAGATGTATTATCAGCCACTAGAGAGAACCCAAGACTATGCTATCTATAGGGTTTCTATATCAGCACTTTCCAACATCCATGGGGGGGAGGTGTACTCGAAACCATTCCCCCCCCAGATACTGCAGTCCACCGGTGCGCATGGGGATGTGAATTAATGCTGGAATTGAAATTAGGTTAACAATTCAAGTTTCATCAAGCGGTGGACCACAAGAACATAATTCTGTGTGAAAATGCATGGCTGCAATGCTTCCATATTACTGAAGTCTTCGTAGCACCTCAAATATGTAATCCACAGTGCTAGTACAGTGTGTTTGTCAGAGCAACTGTGAAAAAGACATCCCCTCCCCAAAAAAACATCCTCCGAAGTTTCCACCAGTGTCGCAATGATTTATGTAAGTTTCCCCTATAGAAAGGCTCAAGTGACAAAATCCAAGGAAAAAGGTGGATGGTGTTTGTTGCTTCCACACATGCAAGGAACTAGATCACCCACAAGTTATATCAACAAGATGCAATTTGCTCAAGGAGTTTCAGAAGCTCCAGTTCTCCCTTGTGTATGAATTCCGGGAACCATTATTTGTTCAAATCGATAGCAAGCCAAGACAACAACTCATGACAGATGCAAAAGAGCAGAGGTGAGCCTGACTGCTCAGCACAGCTCATACTCAAATTATCTAGGTTGTTCTTTATTTGAACTGGCTGCAACATGAGAACAACAGAAGGACTAACTCTGTTTCCAATCACATACACACCATAGGGGTCATCCCAAACATTTCTCAATATGCTATACTACTTGCACTAACACTTCTTCGTCCCAAGTTCTATTGTTTCCCAGGCCGTATTGTTTTATCCAGGCATGTGTAATTTTAAAGAACAGATTCACCATATCTATCAATCTGACGCTTGAAGAGATCTCTAAAGCACACCCACCCCATCCCTCACTATCTTTCCACCTGACAGCACTGCACCATCAAAGCATGCATGCTCTATACCTACAAACACCACTGATTGGTGAGGCCAGCTCTCTCGTCCACCCCAGTCAGTCATGTGTCAGTGTCTGGGCTGCTGAACATCTGGAACAATGTATCTGTGAAGATTCTCAGTCATCCAGGTGATATTATCTGGAAGCTGAATCATGGCAACTGGACTTCTTTCTTATTAGGTTGAAATGTTTCACTACCCATCCAAGTGGCTTCTTCAGTCTGAGGAGAGTTGGTAGGAGACCCCACTTATGTGTCTTCCACGTTGGTTTCACTTACTCCTGTCCTTTGTCTATCTAATGAGTCTATACAGACAAGGGGGAAGTGAAACCAACATGGAAATCTATGAAATTCTATTCCCTTTGGTTAAGGAGGAACATTTCCTCTCTTCACAACTTAAGTTTAGAGTAAATCCATTTTCAGACATCGATATGTGAATAGATATGAAATGTCTACTACCATTTTCACGCATTATTCACTTCCATTTTTTCTGAAGATTCTGTAGGGACTAAATGCATGCTGAAAACGTGCCCCTCTCATTTTGAAAGGTTAGGGGAATAATGCTCTCCCACTATGGACTCCGATGCTCAGAGTAAAGAAACTGAGAAAATCTAAGGCTAAAACAACTAATTTTATGAGATTTACATGTTACAAAAATATGAATGGCAAAAGAAGTGTTTGTACTCAGGCTCATTCAGAGAAATCAATCAATCAAGGATGGTTGATTAACTGAGAATAAGGGATGGCTAGTGCATTTTAGAAGTCAAAAGATAAGAAAAGGGGAGGGTCAGTCAATGTCAGATCAACTTCTGATAGTAAATGCTTGAAATCCACATAGCACAAGAAATATGTTTACACGAGAAATAAGCAATAAATCTTTCAAACACAGAGCATTTACTATGCCCTTTTTTTGTAAAACATGCAATCTTCATTTTGGTATTGAAAGAACTGTAATGGACAAAGGTGTTTAAAAAAAATCGAGCCAGTGCCTATTTTTTTACTCCCCAATGAAAAGACTAGTTCAACAATTTTACAATTAAACAAAATTAATTCTGCTCTCAAAAATTCATTGACCTTAAGCTTTTAACAAACAATTTTCTACTTCACAGATCATTGTCAATATTTACAAATCCTTAAAATTATATTTCACTGGCACTGCTTTTATTTGCCATATTAATATTTCTTTGCAAATGTATGCTTATCCATATCAGAGAAGAAGAAACAGCTGCTACTCACAGGAAATCTCTGGGGTCCTACTGCAGGTCTTGGCTGGGTTGGGACTGGCAGCAAGGGCACTAGAAACAAGGAGCACACCTTCTAAATCAATTTGTTTTAGCCAAGACTCCAGGCTATTTTTAAGAAGCATTCCCATTCATACACAGCTGTCTCCCCATTCCCCAAAATTGCTGTAAGGCAGGCAAAATATGTTAACACCATGCAACAGGGTAATTAGGATTCTGATGGCAGTGGCTACCAACTGCATCACTCTTCCTTTTGTGGAATTTAACAATCTATAGGCAATTATATTGTAAGGTTCACGTGCTGGTTCTAAAAGCAAGTTAAGTCAGTTTAAAAGTAGGTGCTACCAATGACTAAACTACAGGACTTTTTTCCTAACATCTACAATATACCATGACTTTCCAAAAGTCCAGAGGCAACACCAAAGTTAACTCACTTATGCAATTAATGATTTAGCAATCCTAAACAAGTTTGCTACCAAGAAATGCCAACTAAGCACAGCGTGTTTTACTGCAGGAAATATTTTTAGGGTTGCACTGGAAGTTAATAACCTAGTATCTGCATACTTTGCAAACTTCCAATATTATGTATTGTATAATTTGAATTCTTTTCCTTTTTATTTTTCATGCTAGACAGAAGGCAAAAAGGGAAGCATATGGAGATTGAGGACAGCAAATATAAAAGCTGGACTGTTCTGAATTAAGTCTGAGATCAGCATTCAATAAATACCCTGCTCCTGCCAGAGCGCATCTAAATTATAAACATACTGTTAACATGACAAAACTTCTACACCGGCAATAGTCCTAAAGCAGAAGTAGACAAGCTCAAGGAGCTATTTTACTAGCTTAGGAACCTCAAGAAGCCACATCAGACCCTCCAATTTTATAACCTCAGATTTGGAGGGGGGGCAGCGCATCTGGTTTCAAAAAACACTACATTCTGTGCTAGATCAAAAGGGGCACCTCTCACTACTCTCAGAGATGGGGGGGGTGTTTCCCAGTAAGGATGCTAAGAGTCTAAAAGCCACAAATATGGTTGGGAGAGTGCATGATTCCTACCCTTCCTAGAAGGAGAATATGCCTGATTAAAATAGACATTTTTTTCTCTTCTGCATCAGTCTCCTTCCCTTTCACCTAAACATGCACCCTGCATATATGAAGGCACAAAACATTTGTACACATAGAAAAAATAACTTCTAAACTGTCGCTAAATAAAAGTAAATACTGGAACCTCTAGAAGCCACTTAATACAGAATCAGATTGTTAGAACATTTGGCACAGTCCTGTCTACACTGAGTGTGCAAAAGTCCTCCAAGGCTTCAGATGGGGTCTTTCCCAGGATCATCTGGAAATACCAGGAATAGAACCCAGGACCTTCTACATGCCTGTAAGCTGTGATCTGCCAGCCCAACTATCCACCCACCTCAATCATGCTTCATGTTTCTGGCTGTCTAAGACAAAAAACATATTCTAGCGCATTTGACATAATCTCACCTTGCACAGGCGTTACTACGGTCCCTTTGAAATGTGGGTTTATATGTATGTTTTTTGGCTGCTGGGATGTCACTGGAGGAGGAGTCATCAGTATTCTTGGTGTTTCCAGCTGGGGTGGCATATGAATTCCTTGAGGGGGAGGGGGTGGTGTGCGATGTTGAGTGGGAATGGGTAGCAGACCCTGTAAAGGCGGCTGTTGCTGCTGCTGCTGTGGCTGGAAGAGATTCCTAATGGGCTGCTGATGACGAAAGATCCTGTCGGAATGCGTCTGGAATGAATAAGGAGAAAATTATATTTACTTTTATTACCTTAAAGCAGAATGGATAACTTGAGTGGGCTCAGGAGATGTTTTTCTGCTCATGGGCTAGCCTAGGGGCTGCACGGGTCTTCAAAAAAAGAAAAGAAGGGAGAGAGCAGTACAAGGAGGGAAGTGCTCAGAAGGCCATTCAAAAAACAGTGGTTTTGCTTCTTCGTAGTTCCGCATGCCTTACAACCTACTTAGAAAGTAATCTGCAACTTCCTTGCTGGGTGTTTTGAAGAGCCAACTTAAGACCGGGCTCTTCAGGCAGGCATTCCCTCCTGTCACTACTTGATCCTCACTTTTCTATTTTTATTTTTCCGTTTTACTTTTCCACTTTGATCTTTACCTTTCCATCTTGAATGATATCATTACTATTGTTTTAAATTGCTGCTTTTAATTGTTTTTATGCTATTTCTATTGTAAGCCACCCAGAGTAGACATTGTCTAATTGGGTGGGGTATGAATTTAATAAATAAATAAATAAAGTCCCCTTTTCTTGCCCATCCCTGCCTGAAAGGTTTAAAGTATACCCTAGACAAAGAACATAAGAGGATGCCATGACAATACTTAAAGAGGATTAAACAACTCCAGAGAATATTATGATTAGGCTTATGAGCCACATCAGAAAAAATGGAACAACCACCTTAATGTCCAGAGGCAATATATATCTCAAATATCAAGATGCTGGGACTAGAGATGCTGCCTCTGGAGGAGGCGGGGCTGGGAAACTGGGGTACCCGCAGAAGAGCTGTGTGGCAGGAGGGCCAAATCGACACCAACAGCCAAGCCGGTGGTTTATGCCCATCTCTAGTTGGGACCAGCACTTGTTCTCTCCTGCAGGAGTGATGAGTTACTCAATGCATCCTTGAGAAGCTAGAGGACAGCAGCTCTTTCCACAGTTCCTCTTGAATTCTAACCTCCCCCCCGCCCCAGCGCAATAGACATTACATTTACAATACCGTAACAGTTGTCTGGGTTGTCAGTAGTGCAGGCCTGTGATCCTTCATTCTCCCCCTTTCGCTACTCTCTCTCCTCTGTTCTCCCATTCCACGGCATATTAAAGGCCCCCCTCGTCTTCCTCCTCTTCTCGAGCCGTAACGTCCTTGCTTCATTTGCCTTTCCCTCTCTTCAAATTCATGTAATGCTGCTTTGGCTTCAGCAGAGAGCTCTGTTGAAGAAATGAAGGCCTTTAAGCATTTACCAGAAAGGTGAGCGGACTAAAGAACTAGCAACATTTTCACTGCAGCCATAACATAGCTGTAAAGTTCCCTGTTTGATAATATGGCACATACATGCTGATGATTCATTAACATTTGATGTAATCTTTAGGTTGTAAGCCCTAAATCTGCAAGCAGAAATTGTAACATTACACTTTGACAAGAATAAAACCTTATCTTAAGAATAGTTCAGTCAATCCATTTTTGAAAGGAGACTTTCCTCCTTGACTCATAAATGAATTTGGCTTTTGGAAAACAAACATTTGTATGACAGGCTGTTATTGATTCAAGATCTATATACAGAAGTAGTTTTAATTTTCCCAACTCTTAAAAAACCTAGTACAATGAAGAATGAATATCGTATCTTCCCATTGTTACTACTGTCCTGTCACATTTTGTTAAATGTGACAATATCAGGTGTGTTGTAAATATGCCAAAATTAGATTGAACGGAAAAGTTCAAACTTTATGGGACATAAAACAGGAAATTAGATGTAACTCGTGGTGCAGTGGTTAAAGTGTGGCAAAGATTCTGCTCACGAACTGAATGTGATCCTGACAGGCTCCGATTGCCAGCTCAAGGCTGACTCAGCTTTCCATCCTTTCAAAGTAAGTAAAATGAGTATCCAGCTTGCCTGAGGGAGAGGGCAATGTGTAGCCTGCACAATTAAATTGTAAACCTCCTAGAGACTGCTTGAAGTGCTATGGCGAGGTATATAAGCATTACACTTTAAGTGAAATGCAAATTGTAACTGATTTCATGGCCACCTCCTTGGCCAGTGCTGTGCTTCTTTTTGATTTGCCTGTCCCCTCTAGAATTGCCTTCCGGTTCAGGCACATTTCAAGAAATGCAACCAATCAAACACTCTGGAAATTCAGCCAACAAGACACATATTTATTAGTTACACTCCTAAGCAAGAGACCTGCGAAGTGATAAACTACAGCATGTGTCTTTAAACAAAACAAAACAAAAAAAAATACAAGATATAAATAAAATAGCAATTAAAACATGAGTAAACACAACACAGTATGGTTTCTTTCTAGTACCAGATACTGTAATACATGTGGGAAGCCTCTCACAAAAAGGGGTAATATCCCTGGCTCTCTCTCAGAAACCAGTAGAAAGGTCAAAGCAATAAAAAAGCAATATATGGGACAGGACAAAATTCATCCTCTCAGGTCTTGGATATATTAAAATTATACCATTCTAATACATATTGAGCTCTATTTTTAACAGCGTAAACACCTTTGTTTTATCACCCCAAGGAAAAAAGGGAATTATTCACTTTAATTTCAACTATGCATCTGGGGGCATCTATAACCACGATGATGCGGTGGCATACAGCACCTAAGTTATACTTAAATTTTAGTTTCATTTTGAAGTTTTTATCCAAGGCAGCTAAAAAAAAAAAACCTCTTCGTGGCTGTCAAACAAAGCAAGTCGAGGATAATAATTAATATTAATTATTAATGGCTCTCTCCCCAGCAGGCACAGTGGAGATTCAAACTCCTGCTTTCTAGCACTCCACTACGCTATACAAATCCTTCCTGGATAACACCAACACGGTTTCTAAACACTTGCTGCTACTCCGGTACAATGCAGACATAACGGCATAAATATCAGAATTATTTATAAGGAAGTTAGAACTCCTATTTCTCCTACACTTAAGGGAGATCATAACTCTGAAAACAAGCTATTGTTGAAACCAACAAGGCATCTGTAAGCAGCGTGTCAGACAGCATTGTCCAAAAGTTCTTCCATAAAGCAGTCCTAAATGCATTCAACAACGTTCTCCAACAAAGGTGCCAGAGATTATTCTGCAGTCACCAAGGGAAAAGCCCTAGTGCATTCAGAAACCAAACTTATTTCCCCTTAAAGGTAAAGGCTCCCCTTGACATTTAGTCCAGTCGTGTCCGACTCTAGAGCGCAGTGCTCATCCCCGTTTTCAAGTCGTAGAGCCAGCGTTTATCCAAAGACAGTTTCCACAGTCACGTGGCCAGCGCGACTAGACACAGAACACCGTTACCTTCCCCCCGAGGTGGTACCTATTTATCTATTCACATTTTTACATACTTTCGAACTGCTAGGTTGGCAGGAGCTGGGACAAGCGACGGGAGGTCCCTCCGTCATGTGGATTCAATCTTATGACTGCAGGTCTTCTGACCTTGCAGCACAGAGGCTTCTGTGGTTTAACTTGCAGTGCCACCACGTCCTTATTCCCCCTTACATGATAGTACATAAGCCAGAATACCTCAGAATGATTGTAATTGGACGGGAACACACACACACAGAGGGAGCTTTTGGTGCAAGAACAGGATCTTCAGCCTTTACAGTGTCAGAATGCAACTTTCCCACCTCCCTTCTGGTATTCCGTTCATTCTTCTCCTCCAGTGTGACTCCATTTCCCTGCAATCAGCAGTTCTCCACTTGATCATCCCTGACCATGGCAACTCCTTATTTCCTCCCTTTTAATTCTAGAAGTGTTTTGCTGTACTGCACAAAAAGCAACAGTCATGCCTGGAATCATGTGGACCCAAAAGCAGGGTAGAGAAAGGAATGCAGCTTGGGGCTTACAGTATGTCCGAACCTTTACCTTTAAAAAGAGCAGGGAAAGATGCTGCTGCATCTTCTGGGTTCAGCTGGAGTAGTGAGAAAAGAGTTGAAGTGGAGTGGGAAAGAGAGAGAAAAGTACCAGGACAGGGAAGGTAGGAAAGGGGGGGGGGGGCTAGTGAGAAAAGAGTTGAAGAGGGGTGGGAAAGAGAGAGAAAATTACCAAGACAGGGAAGGTAGGAAAGGGGGGGGGACACACAAATTGTTCTTTTTATTAAGGGAGAGAAAAGGAGAGAGATAATGAATGCTTAGGAGACTGAAGGGAGAATGCTAATGGGGTTGGGGAGAAGTCAGTGGCAAGGATTAGGACCTCCAGATAACATCTCGGCGAAGGTGCCACTGTGTGATCTCTTCTCAGACAAGCAAAGCTTTAACTCTAAGCCTTCATTACTTTCACACCCAATATCTCATTTTTAGATAGAGGAAACAATTTCTAACTAATATGAAGCCCACTCTCTCAAAAGCAAAAGTCAGATTTCTAAAAAAAAAAACCTAGGCCTCCACAAATGAAAGAAAAGACTGGGATCCAGAGGGATGTGAGCAGTCATCCTCCTACTTAAGAGCACACATACTCCCAAAAAGTTCCCCCCACAGGACAACATTTATATCTTATATTCCTCAAGATATAAGATAGAAGGAGATACCATTGAGAAATAGGTAGCGTGGATTAGTAATACCTCTTTTCCCAAAACAGAAGGCCCTAGTGCCTCTACGCATGGTATTTTATACTTAATAACTACAGCCTTAAAATTCTTCTATTCCAAGATAGTTCTCTTCCCATTTGGAAAAGCAGCATTTAGGAGACGCCACTGCTTCATTCATGAGGAAAAATGTTTAACATATTTTTGCCAGCATAGACCCAATCTCAACTTCAAAATTCTTTCACACAGAGCTAATGCAGTGAATCAGCAATTATTTTTCTAGTGCCTCCAAGTGTCAAGATTAATTTTGCAACCCTTGGTAATAAAATGGTTTCAAATGACATCTTTAATCAGCAAGTAAGAATTCTTCCCTCCAATAGAGACAAGCTGTCACGAAAGGTCACCAGAAAGTGACAGAATGGAAATTACGTTTGTAATTTCAACTGAAATATTAATTTCTCTTTTAAGTGTTTTCTTGACTTACGCCTAGATTTTAAAGTAAAGAAATGTAGCTATACATCCAAGCTCCATTTCTATACTCATAATTCATATTAAGAGCAATCAGTCCTGAAAGAAAGTAATATTTATTATGCCAGTTCTACTACATTTTTATGCCTATTAGGTTGATTCCTAATAGACATCAATTATTGCAGCTCTCTTAACGCCTCCAGCTGACAATGACCTATCATCAAAAATTTGGGAATAAGCTAAAAAAACTAACTGCAAAACTTACATAAAACACTTCTTTTAAAATGCTCTGCAACTGCTAATGAAATACTGCATTCTTCATATTCACTGAGTATAATATGATGTAACCTGAGAACATACATCAATTAAATGACCTGTGTTTGTGTGTGAGAGAGTGTGCACTCAAGAGAAAGAGGGATTCTAAGAGTTTTTCTAACTAGACTACACAAATAAGATGCAGATTCACAAATCTCATTATAATTTAAAAACTCATTGTAACATATAATTTACTCCTTAATACAATAAAATAAAATAAAAACAGAACCGCATCCAAAAAAGCACCCTTACACATAAAGCCTACTGTTCAAAGAGATGCTACAATAGCAAAATGACCTCCATTGGAAAAGAAATAAGAAGACAACACATGAACTTTCCAAGAAAAAGAGTTCTAAAATTCTACAGATTAGAGAAAAGGTCCTGCTCCTGTACAGATTAACAGGTATACTCAGTTGGAACTCCAAACAAGACTGCATCATAATAATGTCATAATAATATCATCAAGCGCTTATTAATATACAAATCTGGCCTGCATCTTTCAACAGAAACCTACAAACCAACCAAATCTGGTAAAAGGCACACCAGGTAATAAACACTACTGGGGAAAGCGGGTTCCCTGATTACCCCAGGCATGCCCCTTAGGGGAAAACAGGAGATCCAGGCATTTCCTCAGTCAGTCCCGTCCGTCACTTTGAGACTAATTTATGGACTATAATTCAGCATAGAAACCAATCCCAGACATACTATGTTCATAGAAACCACCAGAATTTGATGTTAGGGGAAAAAATAGGTTCTATTATCCATAGATACCTATTTGATTACAAGAAGGTAAATTAGATTTGGACACATTTGAACAGAAGACTACAGGGTAATTATCACATCTTGCTTTCTTTTTAGAAACACATTAGGCACAAAAGAATTACAGACTGTACTCAACATGTACACTAGGAGTGGGAACCATAAGGGAGGTGCCCACTGCTCGCTCACGTTTTTGGGGGCTGCAGTACAAAAAAAAACCACAATCTCTTCTGAAAGCAAACCTATCGAGAGCATGATTCTGCTTCAAAGCAAGACATGCACTTCACCATACACCTTGATTTCAATGAAAAGTGCAGAGAGCCTGCAGCTGCCATCACACATAAATCTGGCATCACAGTAACAAATTTGGTGGTGACTATGATGGCAAAAACAAGGAGAATGCAGACATGGTCTATATGCTGCTTTGCTCAACAGCAATGTAAACTGATTCGATCCAGAGGCTTGCTCTTCCCTAACCCTCAACTGTTTCATTATTCTGATTTGCACATATTACACTTGTAGGACACATATTACACTTAGACACTTATCTGCTTCTCAAGGATACATTTGGATCTGTATATATACCAGATGGGCGGGATATAAATAAATAAATCCCTGAGGTTGTTGCACCACAGGATACACCAACAGCTCACACCAGCAAATTCACGGTATCATGTCTTTATATTGGATCCTGAAGCTGATAACATTTCAAAAGAAGACTTGTTTGCATGTACTTTCTCAAGATGACACACTGGGACTGTAAATAATTCATTAGTAATCCTGCCAGTTCCATTTCACTAGGATGTCAACATGAATCTGGGATTTCTCTCAGTACCATCTTTTATCAGCCAATCCTTCAAGAAAAGAATGGTAAGAGGACCTAATCCCATGCTGTGCAGACACTGCGTATTACTCCAAAAGCCTCCACATTTGTTCCCTGACCAGAAATGACAATCTACATCCAGATATAAGCAGAGTATTTCCTTTTTCTCGTGTAAAATTGCTACAAGTCCTACGGCTGGTAAATCAGGTGTGATTTTTATCACAAATCGTTATGTCTCTTCCAGTTAACTACTTTACATTTTGAATTTTAAAAACATCTCAGTCATAACACCTGCATTACAAAGAATCAATCATCTACTCAATACCCAGGAAACTAATATTTTGCAGGCAGAACTACATTGCTTTGAATATTATTTGCTACTTGGATTTTTTTAATGCAGCCAATTTACTCCAGGAAGTATTTTAGAGGAATACATATTTGTTAAAATAACTTTCTAAAAGCTCTAACATTGGGCTATCTTCAAGTATAGTATTTATAAAGAACATTAAAATTAAAATAATTCAATCACAAAACAGCAAAAAAAAAATTTTAAGACATGCACCACTTAAGAGAACTTCAAAACATAAAAGCTCAGCATAACCCATTAAAAATTCTCTGCAGCCTACTCTCTGGCTAAAGGCTTCACACAGGAAGATTTTCGTCTGCCAATGGAAAGGTCCAACCTAGTTTGTCATGGAAGGTAGCTCCATAATCTGGGAGTAGTCAGTAAAAAGGTCCTCAGCAAAAGTGCCTGACATCAATTCTAGCCTCCCAGCCACTCTGAAAAATCTTACCCAAAGTTTCTGGAATGTTTCTTCTTTCCCTTGTTACATCTGACAGTCTGATGATTGTTCCTTCTTTCCTCTCAGTTTTGAAACGGAGTCGACCAGATTCTTCATCATCTTCCTCTTCCTCGTCAGATTCTTCTTTGATTTCTTCTTGTAGCTCCAAATTTTCAATAACTGCCTGCAGCAGAGGAGGACCCAGATAAATTATTGACCTGGCAAATTTCTGATATGCTGGAGTTGTTAAAAGAAACTTCCCTTTACAGTCTGTTTGAGAAGGAGAGATTCATGTATGTCATCATGGATATAGAACAGGTCATCACATACAAACCTCAGAATGGCGATTTCTGCAACTTATGTCCACCCACTGCCTTCTAGTACTAAGTAAAACAGTATACAAAATAGCCTTACTTACTTTTCACAAGGCTATTATACTTTTTCCACAAACATATTTGCTGAGGATCACAACAATTTAATTTGATTTCCAGATAAAAATGGTTCATCTTTACAATTCTATTTAATTCTCATAGCCCTAGGTAAACAATTCTAGTTATTTGTGTACCCCTCGGTGAACAGCATCTTTGACAATAGAAGAGAAGATGGCTTTGCTTATCCAAAGATATCTAAGTCATGAGTACAACATGGCCACAAGGAATGCAATTACATGCTAAGTAAGTTTCAAAATTTTGTGAAGTAGGAAACTCAAGGACATATTTGAATATTATTATTACTTGCTATCTAGGCTCAAGAATAAATTAAAATCAGACATACAATTCACTGCACTTTGTAATATAGGAAGTGCCTCACACACACTTGACAAAATATAACATGTTACAGGCTCTCAATACTGAGTGAACCCAATGGGATCCTGAGGAAAGCATTAACTTAGATGAACAATCCCTTTTCTAAAGTTGGGGGGAGATGTCCGTCAAACAGTCTAGCTGCAGCTACAACTTCCTAGTTTAAAAGAAATAGAGAACCTTAAATCCCCTGCCTCAAATGATGGCAGTGAAATCTAAGAGTGGCAGCTAGTCTCTTGTACAAAAGGGAAAGAAAATAAATGCATCAGACAAAAGTGAACTTATTGCTGAGGTAATAATTGTTCTTCTCATGGACGGCTGCCCTGAGTCACTCTAAATTTCTGTTTTGCGCTGCTTGGCAGATGTCTGTTTAGCCAAAGGTCCTGAAGTGTCAAATGTCAAGATTTTTGCTGTATATACTGTATGGCATTTTTATTAAACGTCAGGCCTTGCTTAAGGCTTTTTGCCCCCTCCTCCAATCTATGGCTTTTCCAACCTTAAGAAGAGGCTGGAAAAGACGTTCTATGGGAAGCTCTGTAGACAGCTGAAAGGCTGTTAGTCAAGCACAACTAAATTGCTATGCATTGTGAATACGTTTATATTCTTATCAAAGAGCTAAACGGTTGCATGTGTAGAACACACAGAATCCATTCCAAAATTTTGAGAAGCAGCAGAATAAAATTAATCTTGGATCAACATCTATCCTTCCACAGTAGTTTCTTTTAAAATGTTTTAATAGAAAAGCCCCTTACGCTATCTCATGGCCAGTTTTTTTTAAAAAATGTATTAAGGTTTTCGAGCGTTATGGAGATGGATGACTAAATCCTCAAGCCCCCAAGCAGATATGGGCTGACTTGGGATGATTTAAAAAAAGTTGGAAGATGTGGTGAGGCAAGATGATGGGACTGTATGCCCAACAAGCCACACACAGTCTGCATGCTGCTTTTTGCCTACCCGTATCCTAGCAAGAAATGAATCTAGCCAAACAAGTGTTCCATTAGCAGAGAAAAGTGATAATGTTGTCATGGGGTGGGGGGAGGATTCTCCACGGTATCAGAAACACGCATGTTCTTAACCCCTCTGCAGCAGGTAACTTATTTGCAACATGTAGATGAAGCAATTTTGATCCATTTGATAAACAGGCGGCATCTTTTTGACAAAGGAACATATTTTAGAAGGAGAAAGATATCATCACAAAGACTGCCAAGGACAAATGTAAACTAGAAAGAAAAGCCTCTTAAATACTTTAAATCCCATGTGGTTAAGAAATTTTTCCCCTTTGAGATTTTAACTGTTCCCCAGTACCTCTTCTGACTCATTGGGAGGTGTCTGGGCATCAGTAATCTCTTCTAATTCTTCTTCAGCTACATATTCCTGCTGTTCGATGGCTTCCTGGTCATTATAGGATTGCATATAATCTTCATCCTGAAAGAGTGGCATGAGAAAATCTGTTTTGAGGTATTTGGGGCAGATTCTCTCACTACTGGTGATGCCCATAGGAGAAACATTTTGTTAAATGTTTCCAGTTTGCTGACCATGAAATCACAGAATTTCACAATCTCTTTCTTGCAAATTTCTTAACTTCCTTTAGTCCCAGCTCAACTTGGAAATAATGTTGTGAATTTAATTAAATAATAACCATGTGCTGTCAAGTCAATTCTGACTTATGGCAAACCTTTTCATGGTTTTCCAGGTAGAAAATACTCAGAAGTATCTTATCATTCCCCTCTTCCGGAAGCATCCTGGGTCCATGCAGCTTATCCAAGGTTGGCTCTACTTGCAGGAGGCACAGCGGGGAAGTGAATTCCCAACCCTTCGCTCCTCAGCCAGATACCTAACCTTAACATTGTTCCATGTGCATTAAACAGGAACAGAAAGCAACTCATATATCTAAAAATAATGTTTTAAAAGTCATAGCCAAAATCTTCTTCAATACCTTATACCAATCTCGGGGAAATAATGTCATTCACAGGGCAGACTGCCACTAATTTGGGCCCTATTTAGGAGAAAGGCAGGATACAGAAACTTTACATTAATTAAAAGGACCTGCTCCGATACCAGATGATGCACGACTTACAATCCATGACATGAAGTTAAAGCCATGAGGAATCAAAGTCAGGAATCTTTAATTAGAAGCAATCTGCAATTGCCGGTAGCATTATTTTTCCTACAACGGCCTAAGTTATGTAGCAGCATTTTGGTCAATTTAAACTGACTTAGAAAATAATATTATTTTCTCAATGTTAGATTCCTCCTGACTGATACAAGAGTAACAATTTTAATGGTAATACATTAAATCTAACGCATTACTTCCCAGTGGCTTATATAATGTCAGGGGAGGCATTAAACCTCATTCCATCTTAACCACGATTTAAAGCCAGTTAACAAATGCTGATTAAAAGAGAAACTCTATTAATGTTAACCATAATATTAACATATTAGTGTGGGGGAAGTAGGAAGGATCTGGCAAGGGAAATGGGAAGGAAGTTGCACAGGATGGAGGAAAGTGGAGAGATGGAGCATAATACCACACACATCCATGACTAAACCATAAAGAACATTTATGCCTCCAAAATATTTAGAACATTTATGCCTATTTCAATCAGCGTATTTGAAGCTGCATCCATGACGTACTGTATGTTTTTGCATAAACAGCTAGTTTAGAGAAATATACCGTAAACTCTCCAGTGATTTCAATGTTATACACTAGATCTACTATTATTTGTACTTATAAGAACCATGAGCTGAATTAACAGGCGTTCATATCAATCTCTTTGAATGGGTAAGCTTATTTTTTTCCCATTTTCAAATTTTAGTGAAAAAATGGTTATTTCAAGATCAGCACAACATTACAAGCAAACACTTTTCCAACCTCATGTTAAATTTTTGTTTCCTTAATATCATAAAACAAACATAATGTCATGATATATACATATATGAAAGTAATTTTCATCTATTTAACTGATACTTGTGCTGGTATTATTAGACTGAACTATAAAAACTGTTAAGACTTTCTAGTTTTCCTTTGTGAAATATATCAAACAAATTGCAAGGGGCTTATTTTTGCAATAAACCCCTTCAGAGGGTCACTTCAATTGGAACAAATTATGCATATGACATTTCTGAAGTTAACCTCCAATCTCTTTATTCAGGTTTAGACAGTTCTCAGTTACCACAAAAAAAGAGGAGGGGGTTTGAAATGAGTGAGCAGGACATCAATCACTTTGGAATATTAGCACCTTAAAGATGTCTTTAGCAGGTCAATAATCTTTTCACCTTCCAAAGACTTTATCAGATCTTGTCTAAAGCCTGGATAAAAGCTTTTGCATTAAGTACTTCTAACAATTGGCACTGTGTCTCCACCACACAAAGCTGTTTTCTTCCTTAAGGATACAATCCTCAAGGTCATGATTCTCAACTGCCTTCCAGAATGACAAAGGAGTATTACCTACAGCCAAACAAGCTGTCAACACAAACTTTGTCACAGCCTAGATAAAGAAACTGGCAGACAGTGATAATAGGTCTAATTTACCCCTCCTCCCTAGGGAGGTAAACAGATTTCAGATCAGTCTAAAAACCTAGGCACATGAAGCAATGTTATCTCAGGAAATACAATAGAGCAAAACTCACTGGAAATTCATCTAGAGGTTCATTGATTTCAAGATCTAACACTTCATCGTTATAAATCTCTTCCTCGCCCGGATCGTCTCCATATTCTATCTGATCTTCTGTTAGTTCAGCTTCTTGGCCTTCATACTGTCCTTCTGTGTATTCCTCAGCATACTCTTCAGCCACTTCCGGTTTGTCATAACCCAAGTCATCCTCCCCTTGTTCATATTCTGAATCTTGCTCAACGGACGGATCATTAGCTGTCTCCGAGAGCTCAAAAGAGGCCACCATGCCAGATGTAGCATTAAGACTTACAGAAACATCCTGCGTACTAGGGTAAGAGTAAAAATGAAACAAAGATTTAAAATCAGAATATTAAACATGGTGTGAAGACTTCTGTGTAGATTCTAGACAGGAAGGGTATTGAACAGTCTCTGCACCAACTGGCAAAAATATAGCTTATGGATTAACTTGACTGTATGCCACAACTCATAATATGCATACTTACACCACAGCTTATCACCAGCTGCAGGCTATTTGACTAGAGGGATCAAATCAGCCAGATGGCCTAACAGGTTAGGCTGGCAAAGGGTGCAAAGTAACTAAGCAAGCTGCATTCAATTTTAATTTCTACACTAATAAATACATGGAGAGTAAGAACTGAATCTATCTCCCACTTCTGCAATACCTAGCTATTCGTCACTCCAAACTATATAAATATGCTGGGCACTAATTACTCTGAATATTCACTTCTTATAAGAAATGTTTTTTATATAGATGGACTTCAATTTACTTCAAACAGAAATGTGCATCTAGGTCTTAAAAATACAAACACCAATTTAAAATGGATTTTCAAAGTGTTAAACTAAGAATCCAACAAACTGCAATGAAAGCCAAATAACGCAAGTAGTTGATTAAAAACACCCATAATGTATAGTACCATTTTTGTTCAAGATGCTCAGCTTTCAAAATATAAGATATAATACCTTTTCAGTTTACTTATCTTTTCCACTAAAACCTATATATAGTATGTAAAAAGCATCAAGATGGGGCTAGTTCTTGACATTTTGGTCAGCATCCTGTTGACACAACTCCACATATGTAAGGCTAATAACATTATCAGCTGCAACCTTTTATCTTTAATAAAGAGTTTCCTATTTCCTCAGCACCATCTGGTTTTGAGTTTCCCTAGGGGCCCTTTAGACCAATGGTCCCCAACCTTGACCCTCCAGATGTTCTTGGACTTCAACTCCCAGAAATCCTGGCCAGCAGAGGTGGTGGTGAAGGCTTCTGGGAGTTGGAGTCCAAGAACGTCTGGAGCGCCAAGGTTGGGGACCACTGCTTTAGACGTAGGGAAGCCTCAGGGAGGGGAGCTGGCCGTTAACACTGAAATATAACCACTGTTGGTCCAATAGTTGGACAAATATTTCGGAACTTATTTACTGGGACTGCCACAAAAATCAAGAAATCTTAGTTGATTAATTGTAACAAGTTTTAACCAACTGATTCAATTTGCATAGAGAGAAAAAACGTTCTTGAGCACTTTTGCCTCTGCAGTACTAAGTATTCCTCAGAAAAGGCTTTCTTTCCTATGAGAAGTAAAAGCCTCTTACAATCGGTCATCACTTTCAGCTTTCTTTTAGGTAAAAAGGGGAGAATAACCCTGTGTGCAACTAGAGGAAAGGTAAAATATCAGTTCAATTAATAAACTATAAATCACTTCCATTTCTCTGTCTCTCTCTCTCTCTCTCTCTAAATCACTTCCATTTCTCTCTCTCTCTCACACACACACACACACACACACACACAGAGAGAGAGAGAGAGAGAGAGCTCTTTAGCAGAATTAACAGCTTCAATCTGACCCAACTCTGGGAGGCAGTGGAAGACAGGAGGGTCTGGCGTGCTCTGGTCCATGGGATCACAAAGAGTTGGACACAACTTAACAACTAAACAACAACATGTTTGCTAAACTTACATTCTAGTACAAAAGTCCTTGAAGGGATAAATCTAGAAAATCAGTTATGTTACATGGCTTAAATATTAAGAAACAAACCTGAAGTGTTGATCCTCTTCATTGTCACTCTGTAGGAGATCATCGTTCAGTTCTTCATCTGACATATCTGACTGGGTCTGGATTGTAAGCAAAAACAAATGCCCTTGAAGTAACCCAACAAGTAAGATTTATCAGGGGAGCAGCCAACTTTTACAATGTATAATCAATAAGCAGAATACTTTTAGAACTGAGAACAGTTACAGTAACTGCTTTGCTTCATTCAGAGGAATGTATGAATCATCGTAAGAGAAGAATATGATAGAATATTTTGCCTTTTAATTGCAAGCTATGTAGATACTGATGAAAATTCATAAGGTCTATTAAAATTCAGAGATTTTACCAGACTAAAGAACACACTATAGCCCAGTTTTCAGAAGTAGGGCTGGGTAAATTACAAGGAAAGCAGTACAACACAGTGCTAGATTATTGGAGACAAATCTGGAGACCCAAAATATATTACTTGATCAGCCACAACATTTGAAAGATGGTTCCGGGCCAATCACTACCTCTCAGTTTCATATCCGTTTGACGTAGGTTAAGGCAGAAAACAATGGTACAACTGGTCTGACTGAACCATTGAGCAATAAGGATAACCAGTAGCAGTGGGTGGAGAACCTCCATATTCGGATTTTTCATTCAAAAATGCCTAACTTCCACAAAGAAAAACATTCCTTGTCATTCTCTCAGTGTAACTTCTCTTTGATTAGAATTAGTTAAAGATAAATGGGATGGGAATGACCAACAGATCTCTTAAAGGGCAAATTAAAAGTTCTGTTTTTCCTTGATAGTATTTCACCATTTCTAAGTTGATCTCAAAACCCTGACTACTATGAGACAGCAGTATGTGAACTTGCTTGTGGTTTAAATTATAGCAAAAATTCCCTTGTGAAAGCATGCTTGAGAAGCTAAGTTTTGCTAATATGGCAGGTGAAAAACTTATGAATTCACAAACTTTGCTATATATGTTCAAGCTCTACATCATTCAACAACTTCATTGTAGAAACTACTAACTGAGAAAACAAATGAGAAATATCTAAAGGACGGAGTTTGAAGAAAATTGAAATAGTGCGGAGGACAGCAACAGATTTTATAAAGGTTAGGGCATATCTTGTGCTGATCTGAATGCCTTTAAGCTGCTGTGTTGTCAAGATTTGTTTCTCTCCAACAGAAAGTTCAAGTTACCAAAAAAGCCTGACTGGCATTATTTACCTAGTTTTACAGTCACCCAGAAAGGATGGTTTTAAAGCAAAAACTTAATCAAGGGGCATCACAAATTAAGACATGACATACATATTAAACAGAAAATTATTAACAAAATAGATCAGGGATGGGCAGGAGGAATCTGGCTTTACAACCCAATGAAAAAGGAAGATATACCATCAATTTTTATCTTTCATTAGCAAAAAAAAAAAGCACCACCACTGATTGTTCACTTATTATGGTGGGGACATTTCCTATTCTGCCTATCTTTATTCATTAAAACATCTCGGTTGTATCTACAAATTAACGAAACTAAAATAAGCAACTTAAGATGTGTCATAATGCTACATTTTCAAACTGAATAAGAGCATGCAAATTCATTTTAACAAGGTTGGTGATAGTTGCAAGCACAATGGGTTGTTGGTTTTGAAATACAAAGTGGCTTCAGAAATCATAATCTGGAAAACCGCTGAGCCAATCATTTCTTGCACACAAATGTCAGAGTAGAATACCTGGTTTCTTCAAAACCTGGCTCTGGCTTATGACCACAGTTACCTAGGTTACAGTAATCCAGAGTTCTCTGTTTTAGGCAACCACAGCACTAAAGATGCAACTAACTACTTTTAAAAGTCAATTAAAAACATGGCTATACATTCAGGCCTTCCCTCCAGCTAATACCTGATTTTTTCTGTTTATTCTTCTTTTATTTAATCTCTACTCTATCTTTGTATTGTCTATGTTATAGCATGATTTATGTAATTTTTCTGCTTTGTTTTATTGTTTATACTATACTGGAAGCCGCCTAGAGTGGTCTTTTAGGCCAGATAGGCGGGGTATGTATAAATAAATAAATAAATAAATAAATAAATAAATAAATAAATAAAGAAAGAAAGAAAGAAAGAAAGAAAGAAAGAAAGAAAGAAAGAAAGTCAGGGTCATTACTTGTTCTCAGTTTCACAAGGTTTAAGCTAGTCAGTGGTGCATACCTGAACCATACTTTTTAAAAAATTCATTAGAAGAGCTGCTTGTGGTAGCTGCTTTTATTTGAGGGTGCAGAATGTTTGCTGGTGGCCATACCCAAACAAAAACATATGGCTACCAGTGTCCCACCTCCCCACTTATCGTTGAGCCTCTATATGAGGCCAGAACAATCCATTTTTTCTTTCCTATATTCATGTACAGAGCTGGAAATCAAAGAAGACTGCAAGTGCAGCAGCTTGGGTTGCTAAAGTAAAACTTGCCAAACAGGAAAACACAACAACAACAACAACAACAACAACAACAAAAACTATAGCCTTCATCCAACCTATAGACTGAGTAGGGAGCAGACATCTCCCTCAAGCTGATGCATGATCCTCACTTACCTCTACAGCTTGGGGGGAGGGGGGAGTGCTTAAGTACCTTGTGAAAAAAGTAGTCATATGCCAATCCCTGCACACATGAAAGAAATACTGCTGTTTGGAAGACCTGATTTTGTGTTCTTCTCATGCCACCAATAACTAACAGAAACAAAGCAGACTGCTAACCAGGATGCATCAACATACCCAGGTTCCCCTTGACATTTTTTAGTCCAGTCCGACTCTAGGGGGCAGTGCTCATCCCGTTTTTCAAGCCGTAGAGCCAGCGCTTGTCCGAAGACAGTTTCCGTTGTCACGTGGGCAGCGTGACTAGGGAACGCCGTTTTACCTTCCCATCGAGGTGGTACCAGTTTATCTACTCGCATTTGCATGCTTTCAAACTGCTAGGTTGGCAGGAGCTCGGACAAAGCGACGGGAGCTCAGTCCGTCACATGGATTCAATCTTACAACTGCTGGTCTTCTGACCCGTCTGTGGTTTAGCCCACAGCGCCACCACGTCCCTAAACATACCCTAAGGACAATGAAATCTAGTTCCATGTATGTTTTTACTATGTAATCACTTCTATAGTTTAAGCAAACTTATTTACCTTTTTGCCAGTCAGCAAATCTTCTCCTAGCAAGTCATCATCTAATTCACTGAAAGAGACAAGATATAATACTCAGTTGTGCAAAACACCAAGTGAGAATACAGCTCTTCATATGCCACCTACACTTCCAGGTTGATCCACGGATCTCAACAGTATGTGATAGTGATATCATTCCACAGAAACCACAAATTCCAGTTTTATATAAGAGATCTAAAGTTCAGAGAAAGAATTTCCCCCCAAGTTGCACACTGACTCCTTTGAGTACTGAAATGCAGAAAGTTAAGTAAATCAAATCCAGAAAGCATATGATATTCATCTAATTTTAAAGGAAGATTAGCAGTCTCAAACCGAAAGTTGCTGTTTGATTTAACTCCTTACAAGATAAGCTTCTTATTGCAGTATAAACCTCTTATATCAAGAGGTACTGAACTTGTTCAGTATAAAGATTGCAACAAACATAATACAAGTGAAAGGCAGGCCAGTTATCTGCATGTAACATAATTTAGACGGTAGTCAGGATATATTAGGAACACAGTGCCATGCTTTTCCTCTACTGAACAGCCTACACTATTGGGAAGATTAGAGGGAACATTGGATTTGACCATATACTTTAAGCAATTCATTTCAAGGAAAGATTTACTGGAAGTACAGGATGTCCCACAAGATAGTTAAGGTGATAAAGAACCTACTACAGCAAAATTCAAACACTGAAACTCACAAGAACATCAAACAAAAATAAATGTTCAATTGCATAATAACAAGTTCAGAATTTGTTTTAAGTTGCCTCTTAGAATCATGATACTGGTGCATTAACTATAAAGCGTGACATAATCAGGAGTTCACAATATTCCAGTGGCTTTAATACAGTACTGTAACTAAGTTGGTCATCACCAGGACCATACCACCAGCATCCAGCCACAGATGCCATCGACATTCCCTCTAAGTTTCTCTCCTGCTGCGTGGGAGCCTCTCTACGTCTGCATGGGGGTGGGCAGAGCTTGACTTGAAAGGGGAAGTAAACCGGCTCCTTTCCCAACCCCGACAGAACTCTGGAGAAGCACAGCTTATAAGGAACATTGACCTGACCTCTTTCTACACCTCCAGAAGCCAGGCTTGCCTCCTCTCTGGCATTCTTCCATCAGCATGCAGGCTTTCAAGCAATAATGGGGATCTAAGGAATGCCTTTGTTATGAAATTTAGATGGTTTAAATGTTTTTTTCCAAATGTTTTAAAATTGTTTTTAATTTTGATTAATGTTTAAAAGGTTTAATACAATTTTATATACTGTTTTAAACCCGCTACCATTGTACACCTTTTAACTGTTATGAGCCACCTTGGGTCCCCTATGAGAAGAAAGTCAGCATATAAATAATATAAATAAATTATTGAAATCAAGTCCCAGCTCTCCCACACACATTCAAGTGTGCAACTGGGGGCTGAGACTGTATTTGTGTTTGTAGTACCCAAAGCTGCTGCAGGAACAACTCCTTTGCCTTCCGTAACTACAAACTAAGGGCAGCAAGGAACGGCTTTGCCACAGGGAAATTGAACCAAACACCTGTGGCGCAGGTGAACACCAACGTGGCAACCCTGAACACCCTCTGACAAAGAGCCTTGGAAGGGAGGGCAGGCCTTTCCCACAGCTGCACTGCACTTCCACATACACGTCAAGATAATCCCCTCCTCAGTGCCAATCCGGAGAGAATTGTGGGCAGTCTCTCTTGTCACACTTGCCAAACATCAAGGGAAGACTTGGAAAAACAAGAACTGCAAGCATTTTTTTTCATGTTGCATAAAAACACACACACACACACAAATAAATTGTCACAATTCAACCAACATTATAAAATACTAATGGTCACTGTGCACAGGAGCATGATTTTTTATATATATAAAAAAGAGGTTAGTTTTAGAACAAAACTTTGCTAGAGACTTTAAAGACACCCACAAAGAAAACATTTGTAATAAAGAACTGAGGTTTGTTACACTTGATCATCCCATAAACAAACAATCATCCCATACACAAACAAAAAACACTGCCAGAAGCAAAACAACCACTTGTGGAACTGACTGGCACATATGCTCATGCATACATAAATATTTAATTAAAAGCAATTCAGATGTTTTTGAGAGCAACATCCTCAAACAGCAAAAACGAACAAGGACAAAAACACAAAATATATGATTACTATATCAGCAAGCATACAGAGTACATAGAAGAGCTGCTATAAAAGATATAAGCAAATCAAAATCTCAGTAAAAGGCATCATTGAAGAGCAACATATTAAAGCCTCAACTGAACATCTACAACATATGTTGTGAAGCAGAAGACAACATGTTCCACAGACCTGGGGCTACCAATGAGAAAGACCTATTCTGTTATGTATGCCAAATTAGGCATTGGGCACTCAGGAATAATCCCCTGAACCACACTTTAATGTGTAGACAGAACTAGATGGATGAAGTCAATACTTCAAATAACCTATTCTTACCTAATTAAGAATTGCAATTAGAGATGAGTACATATGAAGGCCTCCACAGAGCTCCACAGGTGCTGCATGTTCCCTCCCCTTATCCTCAGGCTGGCTGGCCTGCCCACTCACACATCATTGCATGCCACTGGGGTCCTCTTTCTGTGGCAGTGGGCCAGTGCAGGCAGGAGCTTGGACTGTCCTTCCCCACCTTACCTCAGAGCCAATCACTCAGGCGAGGAGGTGAGATGGGCAGCCTGACCTCCTGCCAGCCACTGAGTGGTCAGCTGCTGGAGGAGGTGGTGAAGGGCAGCCTGAGCTCCTGCCAGCCACAGAAGGAGGGCTCTGGCTGGCAGCGTACCACAAATTGTGAGTGGGCTAGCCAGCTGAAAGATGGGGAGAGGCCTTCTCTATTTGTTAAGACCAGCATTTTCAATTAAGTCCAAAACAGCTACTGGAAGTCATTGCAACTGATGCCAAGTTAAAATTGTGTTTTAGACTTCTTGGCTCCCATCAGCATCCATCTGATGCTAGTTACCTCTTCCAGACCAACTTTAACATGGCCTTGATAACCAAAGTGCAGTAGAATAATCCAGTTTGAAGGGAACAAATGCATGACAGAAGAAAGAAAGAATTAGTTCATATGCTATTCAAAGATGTAGAGGGAGAAATATCTGTTATCTCCCCATTTGCATAATAAGCTATGAGGAAAAGCAGCAGCAAATTCTCCACCCCTGTTCTTTATAGAAGATATACATCTCCTCACAATTTAGCCTTTGACATGCATATGGATACAAATTTATTAGTGTCTAAACTTCTACTTTAAAAAAAGAGCAGAGTGCAAAATACAAACTCAAGAAAGCAAAATGGAATTCTAAGAGAAAATTGGAGGAGCCTTACCTGTCCCAGTCATCATCTCCAGTTCTTCTCCTCCATGATCTTTCTGCACCAGGCTTATCAAACTGATCAAAGTCATCATCTGTTAAGAGAAGACATTTCATAATTTCTCCTTGCCCCATGAAAAACATTCCACCGGGACTGCAGAGGGAAGATAGACAAGTGGAGTTTTATTATGTTGGCAATGAGCACCTAGCATGACAATGGATTTAGCCCATCACCTGTTTAGAAACTCCACATCGCAGACAAAAGATGGATATCCACAACGAGAAGACTATCAACTAGTCCTAAAAGAGTCTTAAGTCCCAATGATATTGTCTGTTGTAGGCCTCTCTAAACAATAGGAAATCAAATGTTAAATTGCAGCTGATTTCATAAACTGATCAATCTATTGCTCACTTAAAGCTCATAGTTCTAAAAGATACATTTCAATACTGCAAAATTATATGCTCACTAAAGAGAATCTTCATAATAAAGATTTTACAAACATGAAGCTAGTATTCCATTATCTTAAAAAAAATTATCTCCAATAAAGAGGTGTCTGCCACTAGCTTGCTTGATTACTCCACTTTTTTAAAAAAATGCTGCTGCTGATCAGACTATATATTCTAGTAAACATGACACTACAAATTGTTATCTCTCTGCATCATTCAGGCAAAGTTCCCATGCAGGCAGACTGTATATCATCCTGATTTTTATTTATTTATTTCATTTATAGACCACCCATCTGGCAGCCAAGGCCATTCTGAGGAGTTTACAACAAAAGCTTGATTTAACTCAAGTTTTCCACTGACACGTATTCAACTTCAGCCACGTAAGCATTTACGGAGTATAGGCGTTGTGAAAGTTAAACCCTACTGAACTAAGTGAGGCTTGATCCTGAATAAACACACATAAATTTATTCTATAATCCACTTTAAGCCATAACTAAATAAACCATACTTTACAGTTAGCTGGACCTAGTCATATTTAGCAGCCATTCCACTGAAATCTACTGGAGGTAAGTTAGCTGTCACTAGCTTCTACGATTATGGACTTGAAAGGCAAGTCCACAATCGACAATTGCTTGATACTCTCACACCTTATTAATAAAACATTAAAATATGCTAATACCAAACTGTATGTGGCATTCCTTGATTTAAAGGGAGCTTTTGATTCAATAGATAAGACAACTATGATGGAACAAACTGGATATTGCTAAAAGACTGCTCCTCCTCATAAAAGGTTTATACACTGCTACAACATGCAAAATTCGACTTTCTCAAAGAGGGGAAGTAACTAACCAGGTCCCAACTAGCAAGGGAGTGAAACAAGGCAGCATCCTGGTTCCCTTATTGTTTAACCTTTTTATGAATGATCTCGCTCCCTTTTTTGACAAACTTCAGTGCCCACCTCCCAAATTGTGAACTCGTCCCATCCCAACACTACTCTATGCAGATGATGCAGTCATCTTTTCCCGCACTCGTCCAGGCCTAAAACGCCTGATTTATGGAAGTGCAGAGTATCTGAGCAAATATAAAATGCAATTAAAATATGGAAGTGCAGACTATCTGAGCAAATATAAAATGCAATTAAAATATAATAAATAAAAAATACGGGGTTTTGCCAAAACATGGAAACAATTTTCAACGGAACCTAAATGGAAATAGAACAGGTTAAACAGGATAAATATTTAGGTTTTCTTTTTCATTATAAACACTTTTGGGTCCCCATTCGAAAAATGGCAATAAATGCAGCTAAGATCACTACTCAAGCTATTCTGCATTTTTACTATTATTCAGGCTTGTCTTGGTAGCATTACAAGTTTTCAAGTCCAAAATTATTCCACAAGCCCTCTATGGTTTCCCAATTTGGGCAAGTGCTTTGGATTGATTGATTGAACAGCTACAATCTTCCTTCTTACGCAAATGCATGCCCTACTCGGTGCTGTCGGTGCTGGAAACCCTTGTTCATGTTTTTCAAATGCCCACTTCACTCAATAGGCAGATCAAGGTTAATAGTCCCAATTTTATTAAAACTGGAAGGGAGGTCAGATCTGGATAAAGTTTGCTATATGCTGATGGCCAAGATGACCGACATTGTAGAAAGAGTCTCAGACTTCCTTGATACTGTTGTTAGGAGACAAACCTTTGTCCCTTTAAGGATGTCTAACACTCTTCTGCCATCTTGATGCCTATATATGCAGTTACCTAACAAACCACCATGACTATGTCTATTTTTTACGTATGCTAATAAAGGTTTTATCTATCTAGCTTCTACCAATTTAAATGAATTAAGTCCTGATGCCTATATATGCAGTTACCTAACAAACCACCATGACTATGTCTATTTTTTACGTATGCTAATAAAGGTTTTATCTATCTAGCTTCTACCAATTTAAATGAATTAAATACTACTGTACTCATTTCAATAGGCCTCCTCATAGAATACTGAAGTTAGAAGGAACCTAAGGTCATGAAGTCTGACACACACACTCCCGGCTCAATGCTCACCATACAGCTACTTTGAATCTCACTGTTTCATTCTTATACTGAGGCTCTGAATCTTCTTAATCACAATGTATCTATCAGCCTTCTTTAAACTACTACTGTACTCATTTCAATAGGTCTCCTCATAGAATATTGAAGTTAGAAGGAACCTAAGGCCATGAAGTCTGACACACACACTCCCAGATCAATGCTCATCATACAGCTACTTTGAATTTCATTGTTTCATTCTTATACTAAGGCTCTGAATCTTCATAATCACAATGTATCTATCAGCCTTCTTTACCTGAGAGCCCTCCAGATGTTTCATACAACTTTCAGCACTCCTGAACAGTGGTCATGCTGGTATATATTATGCAGGTTGACCTTTTTCACCTATACAGAGTGAGCTGATCTGGATGAGGAAGTCAGTAATGCACAGGATCTATGACTATTGGTTGAAGCAGCATGCTGATGCATGCTTCAAGCTGAGGAAATAGCTAAACAAAGCCAAGTGTGACTCTCCATTTGTCCATTTCGTTACCTGAATACTAGTCCTCTCTCGTCTGTTGAATGTTTCCCTTCCCAAAATATAAAACAAAATGTTACAAGGGAAACAAACAATCAAATAGGAAGCACAGACATTTGGACAACATGATACAGTACTTATATGGTAAGCTTTGAAATCCACAAGTAGTAGCCACATTTCAAAGAATCCCAGCCACAGGCATGGTCTGTAACCTAAGGAGTGTCTCTCTGTCAGAAGCTAGATGATTGCAGTGCTGATCCTCCTCCATTTCCACATGGGTCAATAAGAAATAATAGTATGAGATTTTGAGGATGATGTCTATATGAAGCAAATGGGTAAAATTACTAGTGCCTTTTCCTACATTCATACAGTCACTGATGGTGCCAGAAAGTGTGGCAGATTGAGATACAAGGGCGACTACCATGAGAACCATGTGGTTTGTGTGCGTAACATTCCAGATTCAACTCCTGACAACCTCAAGTTAAAAGCATCAAAAAGCAGAGGATAAAAACCTCTGCTTCAAAAAGTTTGAAACTACCAAGTAAAGTGGACAATAGTAGTCCAGATGTTTTCAGCTATGTTTTCTAAACCCTGGCTGTAGTTCTTTAACTTCAAGAAAAACTATATAGTACTATTACAACCTTCAGTTATTCAGACATCAACCTTCATCAGTGTACTATTTTCAGTAAAAATTAAACTCAAAGCAAGATGCTTAATTTAGAGCATTTATATTCACTCATCTCAGTATTCAAAATGGATAATCCATCTTTTAGATATCCAGAGTGTCAATGCCCATATATCAGTTTTAATAGCAGAAGTAAAATTAACATAAGGGCTTTAAGGCCACAATAAAATCGAAGAGGTGTAAAACAAACTGATAAAAGCCATACAAGTAACCAATGAATGTGTGAAACAATTTACACAGTTTGTAAATATTGAAGCAGGTAAGTCTTATTGAAAGAAAGAAAATGTTCAGGATGCCAACAAGACCATGTCAGTCCTGTTCAAACTGAGATGAGCTGAAGACAAATTACATAAAAACTGGCACTGAATTTTCTTGGTATATTTCTTTAGCCGCCTAGAGTGGTCCTGAGCCGACTAGATAGGCGGGATATAAATTAAATTCTGAATTTTCTTGGTATATATAAACAAAGATTTTCCAAGATCGAGACTTTACTGTAACTCTCAAAAAGCCAAGAACTGTTTAATAAAAACAAATAAAAACAAATAATTCACTGCTTTTATTTATTGAACCTTTCCGTAGCAGTAAATCTAAAGAATTGTGGGGAGCCCTACAATCTTAATATACAAAAAAGGTGAAGTAAAGAAGCTATCCAATCAGAAGAGCAAGAATCTATTGATTATCTGCATTCCTTATTTCTACCAATCAGCTTTTACTAGATTTGCTATTTCATTCTATCTGGACCACAGCTACTGATAAAAGCCTCTCCCCTTTCCAAGAATAAAAAAAAATACAGTATTTACTTTTACCAATCAGATTCAACCTCTTTCCTCAACACTAAATAGGGCTCCGTTACGGAAACCAGCACGAGCGAATCCCACGGACACCTTCTACAGTTAGCATCCTTTTCGCAGACACATCATCCCACTCGCAACGTCCTCCTTCACAGGACTCCCCCCTCCCTTCATCCCGCCGTATCCCATACAGGCTTTATAGGTCCAGCATCCTCTTTCTCTCCTGAGGTAAGCTGTGGACCCAACAGTCCAGCAATCCGCTTACTTCTACCTATTCCTTATCGCTGGGCGAGGGGATGCCCACCAAAACCAACCCAAAAAGGAAAACCTCGCCATCTCTCCCTATTTCTAGCCGCTTCTCCTCTCTTCCAGCTGGGCCAGATTCCCGCAGCATGTCCCTCTACGCACCACCACCCCCCTTTCAGATGCTCAGCCCAACCCCTCCTTCTTACACCCTTAACCGGGGGCATCTCAGGGAACGCCATGGCCACTACTCCCGAGTAAACACAAACACAGAACGGAGCTGACGCGGAGAGCATCTCTTCCACGCCCGCGAAGAACCGGATTCCCGCCCTCTCCAAAGCCCAAGGGACCCCCCCCCCACGGACCCCTGCGCTATTCGCACTCCCCTTCCCCAGACCTCTAGCGCCAAATCGCCTCAGGCTGGCTCCACACCGCGGCCCAACCGCGCCCCCTCGGCCTCTGCGGACGGAGGGTCCCGTTCCATACCTGCACCTCCTCCTCCTCCTCCCAAAGTAGCTGCCATGGCGCCGGGGTCCTGAGAAAGCGCAATACAGGCGCCTCAGGATTTCCCCCGCTTTTCCCGACAGCGGTGGCTTCTTACAGCCGGTGGGTGAGCGCCCGCCGCCGCTGCCGATCCCCGAACTACCACAACATGGCGGCGGGCCGCCGAGGGAAAAGGTAGAGGAGACGAAGGGAGGGGGGGCTGAGCGACGCGACCCGCTTCGCGTTGCAGTCTGGGAAGTTGGAGGACCGGTTCTCCTCCTCCCTTCCTGGGCGGAAGTAGGTAGAGCCCGCTGGTTGGTCAGCTTGGAGCAGTTGAGCGACACACGGCTTCTTGTGCGCCTGCGCATCATTGGGAAACCGCGAAAGAGGCCGTTGGGCGGGGACGCAAGAGGCTTGGCACCTTCGCCGAAGCGAAGAAAACCGTACCTTCTTGCCCCGCCTCTCGATGGTTCTTGCTGACAAAAAGCTGTGCAAGCACTGCGCATGCGTCCAAGCGGAGGAAGGGGCGGAGAGTGAAATCTAGGGCTTAAAAACACTCAAAGGTAGAGGCATTTGACGCATGCGTAGAACTTATTTTTTTTCTCTCGGATTGTTTCTCTGGAAAAGAGTAGAGTACGTTTGTAGCTCTTGGAAGGCGTTTCTGTGGCCTGAAACACAAATAAATTTGCTTATAGCAGAAATCAGTTATTTCTTGTTTTTGTTTTGAATAATAATATTTCCCTTTAATAATTTCTTACTAACTATGGTAAGAATTAATAAAAGTGTGAATTAGCATTAAGCACAACAAACAGATCATGGTGGAAATATAGACTAAAAGTCATGCCATCCTTGTTTCTTAGGCATTTCACATACACTGCCCCAACAAGTCTTCCCAATTTTGTCTGGCTTCTTGTTTGGGGTAAATAAACCACCTTATAATCACTCAGCGAGGGAGAAAATAATACATACTGGTCCGTTGGAGTCAAACGCCATGGGTAACTGCATGGTTCATTTCTCTGGCTGAAGCAGAGATTTGAAACTTTTTTAAAAAATACAACTCCCAGAATTTGCTGGGTGGGGGATTCTGGGAGTTAAACTTTTTTTGGAAAACAAAAAAATGTAATGTTTTCAAATATCTGGGTTTCTTTAGTAAAGCTGGGGCAGGTTTAAGAGATCCACATAGTCCTATGGGATTGCTTCTGGAAGAAGAAGGCTGTAGTGGCTCACCATGGCCTCACAAGGGTATTTTCCAGTTCAACCACACCAGTTTTTCTAGAGGTAACAATGCCTGTTGGGAAGCTGAGCAAGCCAGAGGCCAGATGTGGCTCCATTTATTTCAAAACATTCATA